TTTCTAATACGGGCCTGGATGACCCCTCACCAAACAATTTCCACGGGTTTCAAATACTCTTCGTTTTGACATGGATAATATAATTATCAAGTGCTTATCACATTATAATATTTATAAGCCAAAAAGCTAAAACTAAAGTAAGTTCAAATACTACTATACGATACAGAGAAAATTTTTTTCAATACTAAAACAAACTTCAAAAATAGACCCTATAGGAAAAATACAACTATTTAAAAGCATTTGATTAAAAATGAAATACTTATAAAGCCAGACAAGCTCAACACTCTCTTTTACAGAAGAGAGTGCTATATTGTATTGGACAAGGAATCTCTGATTCATGCAGCTTTCCTGCCCACTAACCTTGATCAATAACCCCCCAAAACAGAAATCAATGTTTGCTTTAATAACAATGCAATGAAGAATACTAATCATAATACTATGAGATGGATTCATTCAATGTCATTTCTAGTAAATAGAATCATTTTCCTTCCATAAGGCAGTGCATTACCAACTACAAGAATCGAAAGGGAATGAATTTACAGACTGTAAGAACAACAATAAGAAAACCTGTAATAAAAGATCCCGTTTCAAGGTAACCCCGAAGTGTTTTAGTGCCTTTTGTTATTACAACACACAGACACATGCACACACGTGTGCTCAAGTTTGTGTGAAAGGAAATATCTTGGGCCCCCAAAATCACTAAGCTAAAGGGAAAATTTAAGCTGGGAATTGCTGAGGGCAAACCTGCCTCCCATTCTATTCAAAGTCATCCGTCTGCTCACTGAGATTAATGTCTGTCTCATTGCCTCCTTCGGAAAGGTTTATCAGAAATTCAAAAGAGTGCAAGCTTTCGTCTGTCACCTGCTTGTGCTCTGGAAGTCCCCTCCCTGCTTTGAGTCTTTCCACCTTTGCTTTCCAGACCAAACCGATGCGCTTCTTACATATACTGATTGGTGTCTCATGTCTCCCTAAAATGCATAAAACCCAGCCTGCCCTGACCACCTTGAGTTCCTGTCATCAGGACTTCCTGAGGCTGTGTCACGGGTACGCGTCTTTGAACTTGGCAAAATCGACTTTCTAAACAGTAACTGAGGCCTGTCTCAGGTTTTCTGGGTCCACACTTGCATTGCCACAACGGTATGTTCAGGGGTCCGCAGGAAGGACTAGGGTCCTAAATGCAGTGATACCTCCCAGTAACCCTGGTTTTCAGAAGCGAGATGGACACCTACATTACCAAAACGGGAACTGGAAGCTGCAGACAGAACTTTGAGTACTGTCCTTGTTATGGAATAGGGTGATCCAGCTACCTAAAGTCTTGAAGTGTCCCCAGTTTCCTGGCCAGAGCTTCCCAGCCATGAGGTGAGCCACAGAAAATTGATGGCTGGTGATTTATTGGCTTAAAATCAGTTACCGGTTTTGTTTTGTTTTTTCTTTTTTTTTTTTTTTTTTTTTTTTTTTGAGACAGAGTTTCACTCTTGTTACCCAGGCTGGAGTGCAATGGCGCGATCTCGGCTCACCGCAACCTCCACCTCCTGGGTTCAGGCAATTCTCCTGCCTCAGCTGGGATTACAGGCACACACCACCTTGCCCAGCTAATTTTTTGTAGTTTTTAGTAGAGACGGGGTTTCACCATGTTGACCAGGATGGTCTCGATCTCTTGACCTCGTGATCCACCCGCCTCGGCCTCCCAAAGTGCTGGGATTACAGGCGTGAGCCACTGCGCCCGGCCTGTTTTGTTTTTTACAATGATTCAAAGATTTAAAAGAGTTGAAGGGATAGTTAGACAGTACTGGTTGGGCCATCTGTCAACTTTGAATTCAGGGTTATTCTAGACCCAGGTGAGGCGTTCTTCTAACAGCAGCAGCCAGTGAGCACGTGGGAGGGACAAACTGCCCGGGACCCTCCACCTGCCTGGGGAACCCCGAGGAGGCCCACTGACCGCCTCAGAGCTTAGCAGAAAAGTTCTTTGTATGCATGTATAGTTAGTTCTTTTGATTGATTTTCCTCTTTTTTCATAATTTTTATATGATCATGGAAGATTCATATTGCTTTTATCATTCTTTTAATTTTTTATTTTTTTAATTAATTATTTTTTTTTTTTTTTTGAGGCTGAGTCTCACTCTTGTCACCCAGGCTGGAATGCAATGACAAGATCTTGGCTCACTGCAACCACCACCTCCCAGTTCTTTTTCTGTTGTTGTTTTTGGTTTTTGGTTTTGGGGTGGAGTCTAGCTCTGTCACCCAGACGGGAGTGCAGTGGTACGATCTCAGCTCACTGTAACCTCCGCCTCCCAGGTTCAGGCAATTCTCCTGCCTCAGCCTCCCCAATAGCTAGAACTACAGGTACACGCCATCACGCCTGGCTAATTTTTGTATTTTTAGTAGAGATGGGGTTTCACCATGTTGACCAGGCTGGGCTCAAACTCCTGACCTCAGGTGACCTGCCTGCCTCAGTCTCCCAAAGTGGTGGGTTTACAAGCATGAGTCACCGTGCCCGGCCACCTCCGGGATTAAGTGATTCTCCTGCCTCAACCTCTCGAATACCCCCAATTACAAGCACCCACCACCACTCCTAGCTAATTTTTATATTTGTAATAGAGACAAGGTTTCACCATATATGCCAGGCTGGTCTCGGACTCCTAACCTCAAATGACACACCCTCCTCAGGCCTCCCGAAGTGCTGGGATTACAGGCCTGAGCCACCACCTTGCCTGGCCTGCTTTTATCTTTATTTTAGTTCTTATTATTGCATTTGTTAGACGAAGAAATGGGAGTGATTTTTTTAATCAAGCCTTTCAACCCACTTTAAATTACTGTACAAATATGACAATTTTCTAAGTATGCCTTGTGAAAAGGCACAATGACAACAAATTTAGTTCAAAGATCATAATGGGCTTTTATCAGCAATTCTAGAATCGGGCAGCACCTCATTGTCTGAAACAGAATAAGTGTTCTGATGAGCTGAGCGGAGGTGGTGTGTTTTATAGACAGACACAGAAAACAAAAAGCAGACGGGCATTTCAGAGTTACTTTCCCTATACGGTTAAAGCAAAGGAGACTTCCCTATGACTGAAGTTGGCTGGAATCTCTCACTTTTTAGAAAACTGGCCCATTTCAGGCCGGGCACGGTGGCTCACACCTGTAATCCCAGCACTTTGGGTGGCTGAGGCAGGTGGATCACTTGAGGCCAGGGGTTTAAGACCAGCCTGGCCAAATGGCAAAACCCTGTCTCTGCTAAAATTACAAAAATTAGCTGTGTGTCGTGGCTGTAATCCAGCAACTCAGGGGCCTGAGGCACGGGAATCGCTTAAACCTGGGAGACAGGGTGCAGTGAGCCGCGATCTTGCCACTGCACTTAAGCCTTGGCAGCAGAGACTGTCAAGAAAAAAGAAGGGGAGGGAAGAGAAGGGGAGGTGAGGGGAGGGAAAGGAAGGAGAGGGGAGGGGAGGGGAGGGGAGGGGAGGGGAGGGGAGGGAA